ACCTAATACATACACACACCTAATACATACACACACCTAATACATACACACACCTAATACATACACACACCTAATACATACACACACCTAATACAGAATTTTTTAAAATGTAAAAATCTTACCTGCATTCATCAGCACCACACCATGACGCACGCCTGCAGCAAATTCCACAAACATGAACATGCAGCCATAGACAGATCATTTCACAGTCTAACAAACAATGGGGAAACATGCAGCCATAGACAGCCATAGACAGATCATGTCACAGTCTAACAAACGATGGGGAAACATGTAGCCATAGATAGCCATAGACCGACCATGTCACAGTCTAACAAACGATGGGGAAACATGCAGCCATAGACAGCCATAGACAGATCATGTCACAGTCTAACAAACGATGGGGAAACATGCAGCCATAGACAGCCATAGACAGATCATGTCACAGTCTAACAAACGATGGGGAAACATGTAGCCATAGACAGCCATAGACAGATCATGTCACAGTCTAACAAACCATGGGGAAACATGCAGCCATAGATCTAGATCCCATCATGTAACAGTAGAACAACCAAACCTTCCACTATGAACAGAAACAGTCAGCAGGAGGCAAGCAATCAAGCAAGAAACGATTGTACTTACCCCAACCCCTGGGTGTCTGTCGCTCCTCTCTTCTTCTGTCTTCCTCTTCTTCTTCCTCCCTCTGTCTTCCTCGTCTCCTCCTGAATCACATCACACCTCAAGTGTCACATGTGTACACTATGTGTCAAATGACACGTGTGTCAGTTTGTCTTCACGATATGTTGTGACACATGACATGTGTGTCAGTTTGTCTTCACGATGTGTTGTGACACATGACACGTGTGTCAGTCTGTGTCTTCACGGTGTGTTGTGACACATGACATATGTGTCAGTTTGTGTCTCGCTGTTGCTGCATCTCCCGTGTTGTCCTGACATCCGTGCAGATCTATGTGGCAACTGCCAGTCCGTGGGTGTGTGACAACTGCCAGTCCGTGTGTGTGTGACAACTGCTAGTCCGTGTGTATGTGACAACTGCCAGTCCGTGTGAGTGTGACAACTGCCAGTCCGTGTGTATGTGACAACTGCCAGTCCGTGTGTATGTGACAACTGCCAGTCCGTGTGTGTGTGACAACTGCCAATCCGTGTGTGTGTGACAACTGCCAGTCCGTGTGTGTGACAACTGCCAGTCCGTGTGTGTGACAACTGCCAGTCCGTGTGTGTGTGTGACAACTGCCAGTCCGTGTGTGTGACAACTGCCAGTCCGTGTGTGTGACAACTGCCAGTCCGTGTGTGTGACAACTGCCAGTCCGTGTGTGTGACAACTGCCAGTCCGTGTCACGTGGGTCTGGGAACAGAAGACCGGCACAAAGGGAAATAACTCGGTCATCTTTGGACCAGTTTTTTTTTAAAAAAAGGACAGAAAGAAAATTGGGCCAGGAAGATAATCCTATTTGTCAACATGCAGAAGACCAATCGTTAAGTTCCAAAGATACACGAAGTAAGTTTTTTAAATGTCAACCAAAACTGGGGGAAACGTAAAACTTTGCATCTTCCCAAAAACCAACCATTGAGTATACATGTAGTTAGAACTAACCCAGAAGCAGTCCCAGAAACAGTCCCAGAACTAACCCAGAAACAGTCCCAGAAACAGTCCCAGAAACAGTCCCAGAACTAACCCGGAAGCAGTCCCAGAAACAGTCCCAGAACTAACCCAGAAACAGTCCCAGAAACAGTCCCAGAAACAGTCCCAGAACTAACCCAGAAACAGTCCCAGAACTAACCCACAAAGTCCCAGAACTAACCCACAAACAGTCCCAGAACTAACCCACAAACAGTCCCAGAAACAGTCCCAGAAACAGTCCCAGAAACAGTCCCAGAACTAACCCACAAACAGTCCCAGAAACAGTCCCAGAAACAGTCCCAGAACTAACCCACAAACAGTCCCAGAACTAACCCACAAACAGTCCCAGAAACAGTCCCAGAAACAGTCCCAGAACTAACCCACAAACAGTCCCAGAACTAACCCAGAAACAGTCCCAGAAACAGTCCCAGAACTAACCCACAAACAGTCCCAGAACTAACCCAGAAACAGTCCCACAAACAGTCCCACAATCCCAGAAACAGTCCCACAGTCCCAGAACTAATCCCAGAAACAGTCCCAGAAACAGTCCCAGAAACAGTCCCATTGTGTGAAGTGACTGGTGACCGATACTGAGGAACAAACTCAGGGAAGATGGCGACATGAGCGGGTAATAAAGGTTGTTTTAGGGTCAATTTGAGACGTTCCCGTGTATGTTTTCTTAGACCACCAAACGTTGGATCTTTATCGGCCTTTTTCTCTATCTTGTGTTGTTTGCCACACCATCCTTGTCCAGAAACCAGAACGGGTACGTCACAAGCCTCTTGCTCAACGCTTTGCTGAAGTCACTGTTTGCGTTTTACCTAATTTTGGTTGAATTTTTTTTTTAACTTACTATTTCTCAAACACGTAGATTGATTGTCTTCCTATTTCTACATGTGACGTCTGAGTGGTTGGTTCTGTGTGTTGTGTGTGTAGTTGGCAACGGTACAGAAAAGTGTGTGTTGTGTGTGTGTAGTTGACAACGGTACAGAAATGTGTGTGTTGTGTGTGTGTTGTGTGTATCTTGTTGACAACGGTACAGAAATGTGTGTGTTGTGTGTGTTGTGTGTGTGTTGTGTGTGTTGTGTGTGTTGTGTGTGTGTTGTGTGTGTGTTGTTGACAACGGTACAGAAATGTGTGTGTTGTGTGTGTTGTGTGTGTGTTGTGTGTGTGTTGTTGACAACGGTACAGAAATGGGCGGGGCGGGTCTCCACACTGTTCACTGTCGGTTCATTTGATCTGATTGAGCAGCATGTGTTTTACGGCACGACCGACTCAGTTTTGGCAATGTAAGTGCACGTGTCTGTGGGTGAGAACACGCTGTGCTGTGCACGTGTCTGTGGGTGAGAACACGCTGTGCTGTGCACGTGTTTGTGGGTGAGAACACGGTGCGCTGTGCACGTGTCTGTGGGTGAGAACACGGTGCGCTGTGCACGTTTCTGTGGGTGAGAACACTGTGCACGTGTCTGTGGGTGAGAACACGGTGCGCTGTGCACGTGTCTGTGGGTGAGAACACGCTGTGCTGTGCACGTGTCTGTGGGTGAGAACACGGTGCGCTGTGCACGTGTCTGTGGGTGAGAACACGCTGTGCTGTGCACGTGTTTGTGGGTGAGAACACGGTGCGCTGTGCACGTGTCTGTGGGTGAGAACACGGTGCGCTGTGCACGTTTCTGTGGGTGAGAACACTGTGCACGTGTCTGTGGGTGAGAACACGGTGCGCTGTGCACGTGTCTGTGGGTGAGAACACTGTGCACGTGTCTGTGGGTGAGAACACTGTGCACGTGTCTGTGGGTGAGAACACTGTGCACGTGTCTGTGGGTGAGAACACTGTGTGCTGTGCACGTGTCGCGGATGTGTGTACAGTGGTCAGGGCATGTGCTGTTTGGTTCTTGTTGAGAGATACAGAAGTATATATATATACTCAACATGGGGAGTCGGTGACAGAAATGTCCCCTGTCATTGTGTTATTGTTATATATAACATATAGAATCTATATATATATATAACGGACATGTGGAGACTGTGACAGAAATATCACCAGTCATTGTTCTATATTATATATTATATGTATACATCTATATATATATAAGCCTTTTTATTTATTTATAGAGCACAACAACACCCAGGCGAGTGCGGTAAGTACCTTTTGTGACCAAACAGATCATGCCATACCAGACGCTGTGTTAGAAGGGAAGAGTTAATAACGATGGTAGGGGAACGACCCTGGGGCAAATACTTGCCCACAACCGCTCCAAGTTAGACACTCCATAATATAAAGAAAGCAACCTCAAACCAGTTAGATCCGTTCCAGTGCCTCCGACCAGACGGTTGTATATGTTACGTCTTTTGGATCCAAAAGCTTCTA